GCGAGCAGTTATTTGCGCCGAAGGCTTCTCAGCCGTGTCCCGAATCAAGCTGCGCGGCGTGCGCCATTATGTGTGCTAGGAGGGCTGGACAGCAGTCACTTATCGTGTAACGTTTACCCGTGGGGTTTCCTGCCCTCTCGGAATATTTACAGCGGAATTCACTATCTCTATTAATTATTTTCCATATTCATCAACTTATGAAGACATTTACTGACTATATGTTGATGAATCTTTTGTTGTGAAATAGGAGCGGCTTTGTACGGAACGAACCTACCTGCTGATTTGTATGTCTCCGTATGTAACTGCAGTACGCCATACCATGGGTAGCATTTGGTGGGCATGGATACCGGGTATTTTTAGGCATTTCTGTCTGTTGAAACACCGCTGGCGTGACAATGAATTCCAAAAAAGTTGGAAAGCTCATCCCCTTTCCATCTCCCTGAGTCCCTGCGACAAAATTCATGCCCGATCTCCATGGCCCTCAACCTATACACACAGCCAACCTCGTAGGATCGGTTGAACACCGATTTTGGGAGATTAAGCCAAACACATTTCATCAATCAATTGAAGCTTTCATCGAGCGAACACGCCTAGTGTCGGCCGCACCGGGACCATTCCAGATGCCGACGAGACGGTGTTGACTGGGCGGTACAGTCTAACCCGTGAAACAAACAGAGACTTTTTGAGAGCAACGGCAGATCCCCATTGATTGCTCGTAACTGCGCAGGCCGCTGAAATCAGGAACACCGCCGATCCGGGCCAGGACACGCGGATACGTGATATTCTAACCTGTCCAAAAGTAACCACCACCTGTCAGCTCTCAGCTATACAAGCTTGTCACACTTACCCTGTTACCCCCCAAGCCCCGGGGCGGCGCGAAAATGGGGTGGGGGGAAGGGGGCCTGGCTCGGGGCCTGGACGGCCAGCAAGGAGCTGCCGGGGTTAGCTGTGTCAGAAAGCGGTTAAAGCCGCAGCCGACCCCCGGGCCGGCTTCTGGCTCCGGTACCATTGGCGAAGTCATCAGGCGCACACCGGGCTCAAACAGACCAACTAGCAGGATGCCCTGAAACTTGGCGGCGGACATGACGTCATTACAGAAGGGTCCGACAGCCATGGACGACACTGGCCCGTTCCGTCTCACCGGGACACAAATGACACGGACAGTACCGTGCAGCCATTTGAAATGATCCTGGAAAATGCATACTAATATACAATTATAAAGCCAAGAAACAAAGGATGGGCCTAATGACATCAATTCAAGAGCAACAGGTCCATGGAAAAGCAAATGAGCAAAAACACCTACAATTACTAAGGCTCAGCGAAAACATTCGATAAAGACCTAGGCGACGTTTTGCCACAGCATGCTTCCCAGCAGCTCAGAACTGGGGGCGTTTTGTCACACCTCAAAAGCAACCACGTAAGCCACACTTGGCACACTTGAATGGGTGTCAAACTACAGATGCGCTGCGAGCACGTCCCCAGTTCACTTTCCAGTGATTTTAAATGCATAAATTGTGATGCCATTTATCATTTAAACTTCAACAGCAGGTATAAAAAGCTTGACTGCGAAGCCACAAGCATGCGGACGTAGATATCCCTTACAGAGTAGTGCACAAGTCCGGAATGACATGTTGTTTGTGGTCGGTTGCGCTCATTGCTTCTGTAGCCTTGGTTGTGCCCGTCACAGATCTGTCTGTCTGCGAGCTGATAATACGGCGATGAACAAGTCTCCTATGGTTCTTCACATGGGTAACGCAGCGCGTGATTTGGCCTTAATTGCGCTTCGACGGAACACATTCCGACTCTGACTCGCATGACACTGATTCCGCCTCGACCTCCGAACAGACCTGCGCGGCTTGAGTATAACACCGACTCCACCCCAAGCCTGACCCAACTGGAATGGATTTTCGTGTAGTCTGTGCCAGCGGCGATAGACCAGACAATAATCCGTTCTATGATCTTCACAACGGTCTAAAAAGGGATATTACTTACAATGATACGATGTACGCGACGGTGTTGCGTGGCGGACACACCCCCTGCCGGCCCACGAGTATATCCTGCTGCGCACACATCCACTTGAGCGTACTCGACATATTTTGACGGATTCAGCTCCGAACCATACACCCAATAGGACATAACAGGAGCTAATTCCGTCGTAACTCAATGATTATGTCACCAGTTCCTGAATCGAGTGCAACTTCATCCTGGGCCAGGCACAGGTCTCGTGCACCAAGGCATGGGGTCATTTGACCAACGCAACAAGCGTTAAAGGTTTTAGAACACATGCGGTACTCAGAAAAGTATTTGCCGACCCGTGCGACATGTCATGCCAAAACACATGTTGCCACGCTACAGCCAGACTGGAGTCTGATGCCACGGGAAACCCCAGAAGTACAGACATCTCGCTTACCGGCCGCACAGAGCGTCATGCCGAACGCCTCCTTGACCTTGACCTTGACATCCATGGCTTATCTGAAAGGTTAGAATGAAAAAGCTCTTT